ATAAAAGTCTGGAATTGTGCTTTCACATTAAATGTTTTTGTTATTTTTGCACTGTTGAGTACAGTCTCCATCTTTATGTCTGTCCCTTAAATATTCTAAATATATCTGCTCTTTATTTCCTGTGGATTTCCTTCATCACTGTGACCAGTTGCAACCAGAACAGTCAAAGCTTGTTTTTAATCCAAGACCCTGGGAGCTTTTCATCCATAGCAATGTTTGGAAGTCATCCAGTATCTGCTGATCTCTGTATGTTGGCACAGGTGCTTCCAGGTCACCTTTGGCTTCATTTGTTCACCTCATCTCAGTGTGCACCCCGCTGGTTAGGACCAGCCTGCACACACTTGCACATAAAAAGTAACAAAAATATAACACCATGTCAGTTTTCCTGTCAGAAGTCACTCTGGCTTGTCAGGTGGAGCTGTGGCTGCGATGGGTGCTGCTGGTGTGAAAGAGGCACTTAAAATGAAAGTGACAGCAAAACAGCAGCAATCAGCTCCACATCTGCACCTAACGAACGGATATGGATGCATACCAAGATTCCTTCAGTATCTGGACCCACATGATCGTGATAGTCCAATGATAAGCCTGTTTTTCTAACAAGTCTAATCCCTTCTATCTCCGACAAGTTGCTCAGCAGCATCACCAGCTTTTGCTTGCTGTAGAGCTTTGCTGCCGATGGGTCCTGAGGTCTTCCGATCATCCTGGCCGTGTAAAGATGTGCGTTTTTTTGTTTCTGTGTGTACTCTGTTGTATTGTTTACCTCTATTATTTAAGAAGAATTAACTTGTCTCTGCTTCTTTTGCTGCTTAAAAAAAACAAAGCTTAATTCCAGTCTGATTTTTTTATCAACGACACACTCAAAAAGAGACAGTAGGTTTCAGAAGGACAATAAAAGATGCCTCCACAGTCAAGCGCAGTTATAGTGGTTGACTGCACAAATCATTTTCTGGTCCCTGAGACTAAAACATGTTTCATTTGTACAGAAGAAAAACATTTTTCTCTTCTATAATTTCTACTAAGTCTTTACTTGAAATGCTGTTCACATTTTGATGTTATGTGCAAAGTGCAAAAGTGAAGTATACCTCGTAATGATACATCTTAAAAGGAGGTGTCAAGCTTAATTTAAAAGAGAACTGCCTCAGAGGCTAGATACATGCAGTTAAAGGACCTGCATTTATCTAATGTGAAATGCATGCTGCACCTAATCTTCTGTGTACATCTTAGGTCCAAGGCCTCAACCAGTCATCCAAATCTCCATTTAGTCAAGCAAGCCTAAAAGTCTTGCTAGCTATGGCTTGTCTGGGTTGGTGTGTGGATAAGCACATATTGCTGTGCAGACCACAGATTAATTAAAGTGTTAAATCTAAGCTGGACTAAATTTTGCAAAGGGTAGGATTTGGCACACAGACTTTGACTGAAATATGACATGAAGGATGCTGTATTATGGCTTTCAAAGATTTTGTAAAAATTAATAAAAAATGACAAATGTTGAAGGTCTTTCATTTTTATGTGCTTTCTAGAACATTTTTGTACTGGCAGATGTCTTAATGATTTTGTCTACATCAGTTTGGGTCTGTGTCAGATTATCTTGATATATAATGCAACTGATATCACAGTCAAATGCCCATGCATTCCACTGTTCCAGTTACATTAATGTAATCTAAATCCCTACATTGTGGCTGATTGCATAAGTTGTATTATGTTCACCTTTGTCAGTAGACACACTTACGCACTTGCTCTCAGTGTGAATGGCTGCTGGCTTTTTTTCTTCGTCCATTGTTCAGCATCTGCTAGTTCAACAACAGAGTAGGTCTGTGAATTATGGCTGTGCGGGGATGAGAAATGGCGTCTTCTGATTCATTATGTTGTTTGAGACTTCCTTTCTGTGGCAGTACAGGACAGAGTTGGATATTTCCGTTTACATGTGTGCTTTAGCTTTGGCAGTGCTGGTAGGTTGGTGCACCACTTTAGTCACTACAGCTGGGTGGACCACTAGAGAAAAACATTGTTTAAAAACCATTGTTTCGGATTATCCCGTGAGATATCTCAGTATCTACCAGATGATTACAAAATGTCTCTGTAGACGGATACAATTTGGAACTGACATTTATGCCGCTTTTGAATGGGGTCACATTAACTTGTGAACACACAGGGGCCTGTTCTCCACATGTGGATTAACCTTTTATCCGGATGAGCAGTCCATAGTAATGGAGACAAATATGGGATTTCCTGCTACTGCTCGTAAACAGTTCCGAATGAAATAAAGAAATTACACCAAGACCTGTGATATGACACAAGCAGCAGGGGATAAAAAGTCAAAATTGATGTCCTGCCAGTTGGTCCATGGAGGTAAAACCACCTCTTTAGTATTTTATTAATAATATTCATAGTAAATATTCTGTAATCAGATAGCTTAAAAAAAAAAATCTGTTCGCAATCTTTCTCCCACATGGACAGTGTTTTCTGACTAATACACCAGGTGAGCAGAGAAGCCAACATATTTAAAAGAGTCTTTTTTGTTCTTTTGTCTTTGTTGTGCTGCTGTTTGCTCTGAATATTAGGGGATAACGGATGAAAGCTCATTATCACAGTGGACTAAGGAGGGTACAGTTGATCTGCTTTCAGCTTTATACCACCTTTTTTTAAATGATGGTTTGTGCAGTATTAGGCTGTGACCTTTTGGGAAGCGACTGAAAGAATGAGTTGTCAGAAATTAGCTTCCTCCAAAGGGTCTGTGTGCTCTCCGATAGAGGCAGAGTGAAGAGCTCCATCATTCAGGAGGGACTCCTGTCAGTCAGTGAACAGAAGTACACAACCAGTGTCATGGTCCTGGGTCATGTGACCCAGTGTGTTATGCTTAGCCTATTTTGATGTTTATTATTTGTTTAGGTTCTCTAAGGTAGTCCAGCCATTTGTATATATCACCCCTGCATTACGTCTCCCTTGCCCTTCGTGTGTTTATGTCTGTGTGTCTTGTACTGTCAAGTTCATGCTGTCAGTTATGTCACCTCCCCCTGTACTATGTCTCCCCGGTTCATGTCTCATGTTTCCTGTTTTACTTTGAAGGCCTGCATTCACTGTCAGTGTATTCAGTTTTACTCCTCCTGTCCTGTCGTTAAGTTCATGTGTGTCAGCTGCGTTCCCATGTGTGGTCACTTCCCCTGATCATCCCTCATGTGTATTTAGTCTCTGTGTTTCATACAGTCTGCGTCGCGTCGTCTGTGTTACCACCCCCTGTGTTCTGTATCTCCAGCCATAGCTTTGCCTTAGTTTATGTCCAGTTTAGGTTTGTGTTTAACTATTACTCTTATGCTGCCCTCACTCTGTTTTGTTCCTTTCATCAGCCAGAATAAAAGGCTCGCTTTTGTTTAACTCCACTCCTGCATCCTCGCTTGTGTTCGCTCCTGGGTCCACCACACACATTTCCGCACGGTCTGCCTCCGCAGACCGTGACAAACCAGTACACAACCAGTGTTGGTCTCAGATATTTTTCATTGCTGTCTGACTGTTTTTTCCTGATCTAGGGCACTTTGGGAGAAAAGTAAACTAGGATTTTTGACACTTTTTAAGGACCAAATACAAACCCGATCAAAAGTTTAAGACCACTTGAAACATGGCAAAAAAAAATATTTTGCATGTTTTGAAACTTTCCCTCTTTGAATGTGGTCGGGTTGTTGAACTGCAAAAGCAGGATCTCTTGCAGTGCGCCATCGCTGATGAGGTGGGACCCAGTAAGACAGTTATTTGAAATTTCTTTAATGATCCTGAGGGTTATGAAACAAAAAAGTCAAGTGGAAAACCCCCCCAAAATTTCACCAGTACTGAGCTGGGGGATCCAATTGACGGTCCATCAAGACACTGGACGATCCTCGACCTAAATTAAGGCCATTACTGGTGCTGACTGCAGCCCCATCACCATCAGACAGCTTCTGAGACTGGAAGGCTTCAAAAACAAAAAATGTCTTCAAAGGCCTCATCTCCTTGAACGCTGCAGAACTGACCGCTTGGACTTTGCACTTTCAGAGTACCAAACATGGGACATTGAAAGGCAGAAGAAAGTTTTATTCTCTGATGAGGAAAATATTTGACCTTGATGGTCCTGATGGTTTCCAACGTTACTGACATGACAAGCAGATCCAACCTGAGATGTTTTCTATGCACCACAGTGGAGGGGGCACCATAATGTTCTGGGGTGCTTTTTCCTTCAACGGAACCATGGAGCTTCGGGAGGTGCAGGAGCGTCGAACGGCCGCTGGCTATGTCTAGATGTTGCAAAGAGTGTCCCTCGTGACTGAGGGCCCTCGCCTGTGTGGTAATGACTTGGGTTTTTCAACAGTACACAATGCCTGCAGGTCAAGAGACTTCTTCCAGGAGAATAACATCACTCTTTTGGATCATCCTACATGTTCCCCTGATGCAAATCCAAGTGAGAACCTTTGGGGATGGATGGCAAGGGACATTTACAAAAATGGACAACAGTTCCACGCAGTAGATGCCCTTCATGCAGCCATCTTCACCACTTGGAGAAATGTTCCCACTCACATCATGGAAACGCTTGCATCAAGCACGCCACAACGAATTTTGAGTGATCAACAATAAAGGTGGAGCTACTCATTACTGAGTTCATGTTTGGAACTGTGATTTCTGTTTTGTGGGAGTTTACAGGTTTATTTTGGAGGTGTGGTCCTAAACCTTTGATGAGTTTTTTCAGTTTAAGCGTTGTTTTCAATAAATTGCATGTTCAAAAAATGTTTTGTGTCAGTCCCATTTCTTCTTGTTGCATGTTGAAGCTCTACTTGGAACCTTGTTACAATCTAAACATGCAAAATATGATTTTTTTTTTTGCCATTTTTCAAGTGGTCTTAAACTTTTGATCCGGACTGTATTTCTCTTGTTTTTCCTCTTCCAAACTATTGTGTAATTGAATCGTTCACATCTTTAAGCCATCCTAATCTGAAACTTTTAAACATCCTCATCTGTTTCTTCCTCTCTCTGTGCAGAGAGCAGCCCATCTTCAGTACGCGGGCCCACGTCTTCCAGATAGACCCGAACACCAAGAAGAACTGGGTTCCCACGAGTAAACATGCCGTCACAGTGTCGTACTTCTTCGATAGCACCAGGAATGTATATCGAATCATCAGTCTGGATGGATCCAAGGTGTGTACAAGTAAAGCCAGTTCTTAACCCTACCTGGTACAGGATTGCAGTTTTAACCTATGTTTACATGTTTATCTACATCCTTTTGATTTCATCGAACTTCTTTACGTGCTTTGCTATAGTAACATTACTTGTTCAGCTATCAAACAATTACGTATTTTTATCGTAGAAATGCTTTCATCCACCACACATTCCACCACCCAAGAATAATTTTTTGGATTTCACCAAAGTGGAAGTAAAGCACTCTTCCGCAGCGTGTCTTTTGTCCCGTCTCCCTCCCCTCACCCGCAACCAGTCAGTGAAGATGGCCTTCCCTGAGCCTGGCTCTGCTGGAGGTTTCATCCTGTTGAAAGGGAGTTTTTCCTTCTCACTGCCAAGTGCTTACTGATACAAGGCAATTTGATTATTGGGGCTTTCTCTGTATAACTTTTCATGTCTTTACCTTACAGTGTAAAGCACCTTAAGGCGATTGGTGTTGTGATTTGAGGCTATGTAAATAAAACTGAATTGAATTTAAGTTTTAATTGTATATAAATATATTCATATAAATAATTGGAAACACTGGTTTTCCATCAGTGCATATTCTTTGTGACTGTTGTGCCTCAGCCGGGCCTCTCTCCTAGAGCAGTGAAGTTGAACTCAGGCCCGTCATATCTATGTGGCAGTGATTATTTTAGTCTTGAGATAGGTGCAGGGGTGGAGTTAGCATAGTTATGCAAGAGTCTCTATGGGTGACTAGCAGTGCTGTTGTTGAACCAGCAAGTTAGCTGTGCTGTGCTGGAAATAGCAGCAG